GTTGGAGACACTACAAGATATGGCTGCCAACCGATGTCAGTGGCGTTCTTGTTGTCAGTTTCTGTCCAGATTGCCTGAGTGAATGTCTGGAGGTGTAGGCACCTCGGAATGATTGTGTTAAGCTAGCACTAAGTCCCTCCCCCATCCACCCTTATTCTTTTCTTTACAATAAGGCTTTCAAATAAGTCATGGCTGTACGGCAGTGAAGCATTGGTGTTGAGCACTGATGTCATGCTGTCGTTGATGATGATGGTGATGATTGTTATCGGCTCCGTGTCAATATAGAACGTCATAGGAAGACGAAAGTACGTTTCTCGGGCGTTGAATTGTGTCATTCCTCGTTTTTGTCCGTTCCTTTGTGTCACACACTAAGGTCACTGAACAATTCTCATTGTAAGTTTAAGATATTTGCAGAGGAGATGACGCTGTTCGTGTGTGGTCTCTACTATAGCACGGATTCGTGGCGATTTCACAACCTAACAAACTAACAGCTTCGCGCGGATATCTCAAGCGGACCGTGACCTCGTCGTAGGCAGACGCTATTTGAGGAATTTCATGTCGTCGATGGTGCGCTGAAAACAGGTTACTTAATTTGTGACTCCGAACGGGATGCGAATAAATTGACAGGTTGTTGTAGGCTTCGAAAGTAGTGTACGGTTTTTCGTCATCTTCGATACGAAACTGTAAACATTTTCAAGCTCGAGCATGCTGAAAATCTCAACCGGCGTATCCGTTTGAGATGATAGATAAGTGCTAGGACAAGTAAAGCGTTTCTCGCTAACCATGCTTTTTTATTGACCTTCGTTGATCGAAACGGGTGATAGGACCCTCGATAGTACTCGCCCTGAGCAACCGATGAAGTTCGGAGCGAATAAAATGTTCATCTACGGTGCTGTGTCACCTCGGTTTGGTTGTTGTCCGCAGGCAATCAGGAGCAAGGTGTTCTAGAAAAGATGGAGAGGGATTACACACAGTTCGACTACACGAAGAAGGTCATCGAATAGGATTTCAACACTCCAATGATTGCCGAGAAAATCATCCACATTCACACGCGGATCGCGGATTTAACGCGTAAACAGAAGTATCCTTGTGGCGAAGTAAGAGGTAACAGTGATACTAAGTGCTGTTTGTCACACTGAAAACCAGCGAAAACAGTTTATCTCCATGAATGTTCCGTAGGTCGGCGACTGTGACGAACAACTGCTTCCGAAAGGAAGATCTCAGAACTTCCGGTATCCACCAAAAGCGAGTTGGGCTCCATTGACAGAAGTGATCGATGCAACGCAGATGACTTGCATCACCACCGAAGAAAAACAGGTGGACTATCTCAAGGCAAGTGTAGCGTTTTCAGTAGCTAGGCACAAACGATGTGGTTTCAAGGGCGCGGTAAGAGTGTGACGTCATTTTACAGATTTTTCAGCTTTGTGCATCAAACAATTCATAGATTTCTTTTGCTAAGTCCGAAGATTTAGCTTGAGCAATTGGCGTGTCCACATTCAGATTTTTTGCTTCTGAAGTCCTTGTTGTTTGGACATGGACAAGCCATGGATGACATCGTCGCAATTCTGCTTGGCATTGACCACTTTAAAGTTACAGTCTCCGACAAGGTCACGAAGTCTGAAGAAACTGCTCCAGATTCTCGCCAGTGACCTGCTTATCGGAATCCGGTGGTTGCAGCTCGTATACCTAAGACTGATTGTCGCAGTACCTTAATCAGAGTATGAAGACCATTTGATGTGACTCAGCAATACTTATCTGATTTGCCCACCAGACCCACGTGATCTTTCAGCAAAATCAATAATCAAACTCCAAGTCTCCGAATATCTCTACGTAGTGGCCACATCTCCGATTTATAAAGTGGGATCGACCGAGCCACAGCCGAACTTGTCAAGTTGGTGTCACAAATGTTGGAGGTTAGCAAACGCTGCCTTTCCAGTTTGGGGAGCGGTTCTATTTTTTGCTTTTTCGAAGCTTTCCAAATTGATGAGTTTTCCCGTCACATCGGCAAGCATGAGTTTAAGGGGGTAATCCAACCTGTCTTGGAGTAGCTTTTTGGGCTTTTAAGTTATCCAATGCCGCCAGCGTACTCAAGACCTGTGAAGAAACGCCCCGGAAGCTTTTGGATCCCGAAGGTACGAGGGGTAGACGAGAAAGATCCAAGTAGGTCATCGATAGAGGAGGAAAGGCTCATAAACGCTTCGGGAGGATTCCGTTTTCTTCTAGGTATCAAAGTTGGCATGAGTAATTTCAAGTAGCCTGAAGGGAAGGATCCCCAACGAAGGTTGTAGGGAGTTGCGGGAAGGTGTAGTCTTCTACCCACTGTACTTGATGAATACAGATGAGAGCTTGCCATAAACCCCACGAATCCATGGGAGCTGGCGTACAAGGGGGAGGAACTGAGTTGAGGTGAATCTGATTGCTGTGCAGTACCATAGCTTCTGGTCATTGGTTTTAAAAACAGCTTTCAGATCAGGACAGATCAGGTTATCCGTCCTAGTGATACCATTTGAAGCGCATTTAGAGAGTTACGATGAATGTATGTTTTGCAAGAAAAGAACTCAGAGTAGTTCTCTTTGGGTAATCTATCAACACATGCAGGATACTACTAGAGTGGAAATTCAACGCTACGGCTAGCAAGAGAACATTTCGTTTTCATGCTAAATGCCTTACGGTAGGATTATCAGACCACCTTTTTGTGTGCAGGATGCAAATCACGGATCTGCTTCCGTTTTTGTGTTGGGATTTTCGTTGCTAATATGGAGTCCTTCCCGTGCTTCTGAGCTTTTACATGTGCTAGCACGTGTCAGCATTTAGTTACTTTGCTTCAAATTGTCCAAGAACTTGAAATTCGCCTGTATTGAATATTACCAATTTTTCCCTTCCAGTTTGACTGCCTTCTTACTCCGAGAGCCGCCGTTCCGCAAGTTATTGTGCTTCCGAGGGGCGTCACATACGGAAACCAGCCCACTTGAATTCCCAATGGACGGAAATGCTTCAGTACCGAGCTGTGAGCTTTGTTGTTTTACTTAAATATTTACGAAAGGGTCTTCTGCATTCACCGAAGAGGAGTTGCGGATGATCAACGAGTTGCAGGCGCGGATGGTAGCATCTCCTCAAAAGCCCAACACGCCCCCTCTCGGGCAAAAGGCCCTAGATGTGCTTGCTGACTTACAGATTTCCTGTTTAACCATAGCGGAGGAATGCTCAAAACCTGAAAACTTTACCGAGTCCAAGTGGCCGTTGAGAACTACTTGCATTTATCAAGGCATGAAAACTTGCATGAAATGTAATCAGAGTGGATTTTTTTAGGGGATTCAGAAGTCGGTGATTTTGTTGGAAATTGTCTGGACTCAATTTCGGTCCAACTGGATGATGGTAACAAGCCTATTGTTGTTTAACTCTTCTCGCAAAGTGATGGCCAGTGCTATCTGCAACTCTAAAAAACGACCGAAAAATGAACATTTGTGGGCGTCTTTCGTAATTCGTGATATGAAGCGGGTGATTGATTCCATTGGACATCAGTGTGAAGCACTCGTCAGGCAGCGGATTGCTGATGCCTCGTACATTCGGCTTGGTAAGGACGTAAGCTGTTGGAAATATTTCAGACCGTTATTTGTTTCAAAACTCACGATTCCACAGAGTTTTCAATAAGCTTTCTAAAACTTGTGAACAGCGTGATAACTGAGCTTCTAATGATCACTTATTCACCATGGTTTTTATTGTTAACTTCGATGTAATCAGACGATGAATAAGTGCTACCGTGTTCCACAGTGCTCAGTAGAACCTCAGTGTAACCTGTCAGTGAGTGACTACTGAACTGAATTGCATTTAGACTATGTATTTGTTTATAATGTGTGGGTCGAAATTTCGAATTCCACACTTCTCTGGTGAGATTAGCCTACGCTCACTTCCGACTCGAAATATATGGGTGGTAAAGACGCGAAATTACGGACCGGGAGTTTCGTGGTTCAAACCCAACTCCTGAATCTCGACTGCTCCTGTCTAAGCTTGGGAAACTTGACAGTATCTCAGCCCTCGTGCTTTCTTCGGATGGCATGGCAGCTAAACACGGAAAGACTATTATCTACGTTCAAACTGTTTCCAAGTGGTTAGTGTATTGTAGAGGGTGTAGCCAGCTAAGTACATTCGGAGGTTCATCTCAACAAGATTTTGATATTCCAGGAAACGGCATTCACAATCTCGTACCCACTTATTTGAGAACAGTTATCCATGTCCTCTTTGCCGATGCTAACTGTGGACCAATCAAAAGCAGTGCCAGAACTTATGCGCCAGCGGGTCAAACTCTACAGCTCATCATCAGCATCGATAGCTGTAACTCAGCTTCCGTTGAACATTTTCCCAAAATTAAGGTAGGTTTCTCATATAGTTCATTTCTGTTGATTTTACTCGGAGAATGCATTTTCATGGGATACTATTTTGTTCATCGAACTGCAGTTTGTGACTATAGCCGTAGGTTTACAATAAAAACCAAGCTATATTTTGTGTTATCATAAGCTTGTTAGGTAGCATCTTTCACCGTTTTCACAGGTCGCGTGTATGCTTGGGCACGAGAGCAACGCAACGCGGACATGGAAGATGAGCAGCTGGTCACTTCGGCCAATCAGTTGCGCTCACGACTTCGATGTCGACTGGCTAGACTGGTGTGGTTAACGCGTGCAAGCAAAAGACGTGCCCGGTCACATCCCATTTTGACGTCCATGAAGCATGAGTTGCTAAGGATACGAACACATACAATGGGACAGCTGTGTTCTGAACGCACGGCAGCTATGGGACCCACTGAGAGTACGTTAACTTGGTCTGAATTGTTAGTTTAGCTTTTATTGACATCACAAATGGTTTTCTTTAACAGAAGGGAGTCTGTGAGCTGTAATGGAGTTAGGATTCGTCGGTTTACTTTTTGTTACTTGACATCAAGTCGTCGTATGCTAAATCATGCAGTAGAACCCTTGGTGAAATACTCATACTTGGGAATCCCAGCGTTCTAGCCGTTTTTCGCTGAATCATTTCCAGTATTTAGAGATGCTTCTAACCTCAGTAAGGATTAGTAGATTCCTTCCCGTTAGGTCAAATAACTCTTGAAGGGGTGGTAAATTATCTTCATGTTGCAAGCCAATGCTCACCTATGCAGTAATCTGACTCACGTGTCGTGGAAGCCAATGGAAACAACTGTTTGGTTCGGCAAATGATACGCAGTTGGACGTATAAAGTTCCGGTTGCCACCTGCTCCTTTGTAGCCATCACAACTGGTCAGACGGTGGCGTGTCTTACTTTCTGTGGCGATGCGGTCTTATGGAACAAATGTAACACCTATCTTTCCAGAGGATCGAGTACCATAGGTTTACAGATTCGTCACTTTTCTTCCAATTTAGCATATTGTGATTGAAATTGGCCACCTTTAACTTACCGAGCAGGCGACGCGTCCGTTTGATGGTAACCTCTCAATGGATCATTGAGGTGGGTTTCTATGCCTAGAGAATAGTGACGGACATGAACTGTTGAGGAATAATGCTTTCCGTATACAGAGACCTATAAATCGATTGAGGTCAGCAAATCACAATTCTATGACGTGATGGTGGTATGGAACAAAATAATTCTTTGTCGGCTGAACGTTTCTCAGTAGGAGTAATGCTTAATACGATACTCGGGAGCATGTACATCGACCTGCAAACCGCTTCTGGACACCGGCGTCAGGAACGGAGCTACTTCCGGTAGACTCTCAGGAATAAGCCACCGAGTTTTCACAATGTCTAATGGGTGTCTAGCATGATTCGAGTAATTTAATCCCTTTTAAAATCACGCGTTATGCATTTCGCAAATTATCCAGTGAATGGTTGATAGCAACGGGATCCCTATTACATGAAGGGATTACGACTCAAAGTATGCACGGTTGGAGTGAAACTTCTATCATTTTTATCGCGGCACTCAACAGGAGCATCGAATTGAAACGTTAATCACGTATTGAGAGGAAACTATCCAAGGTATACCAATCTGCGACACTTTTATGTGGTGCTTTTCAATCTTCGTTTGTCGGAAAAGCCGAGAATTCATGTTTCGAGAACACTGGACACCTGGGCTTTGGAGTTTACCAATATGTAGATGAAAAGAAGGGTTCTGGCCTCCTTTGACAACCGCTTTATTCACGAACTCACCATTCTGAGCAACGTCTACAAACAAGCTACGATCTCTAGGTGCTTGGAAAGTTACTTACCCAAGTGCAGAGTGCAAAAATCAGTTTGTTGTCGTCGTTTCATGTGTGGAGATATTAGTAAATGCGGTGTGATTCAACGGATGGCATACCGGAATCTTGTTTTCACTGATTTATTGCTAATAAAAACTTCAATAATGTGAATGAAGTTTTGGGTTTAGCAACTCAAACTGAACAATCTTGCAATTCACTTTCGGGCAGTATAAATTTGTTTTTAACCTTTGCCATCTTTCACAAGGTTAGATAAACTTGTGTTTTATGTAGACAAACTACCGTTTGCCACGATGACATGGGCAAAAGCAACGAACTGTCGTATGTGAGCGAGTTATTGCTTTGTAAACAGTGTATGTTAAATATATGCTAACATGGCCAATTTTTCTAGAATATGAAGCGTCGTAGTAACTCTGATTAACAAGCGAAACTTCATGTGCCTCAGTGATTCAAAAAGAAAGAGGGAATAGTTGTAATTACCAGTTATTAGGTTGTGTATGATTGATATATTTGATTCGGTTTGGTTCATGTGACTACTTATAAAACCATTTAGGGAGCCTGTGGTATCCGGTGCCATTTGTGTCGTCTCGCTTTAGTGGTTGAAGGTTCACTCAGGGGAGTTCAGAACTCAGCATGGTTATTCACTTCGTGTGTGTTTCACGTTGATCGAGGACTTTTTTGGTGTTGCTAGTTTGATCAGTTTGGGGCCAGTTTCTGTCAAATGTGTTGGAACCTGGCTTGAATAAACGTGTGCGAGAGCTACTTGCAAGCGTCTAGACTACATTCGGATAAGGTAGTTCAATAGCTTTAGTGCTCTGTGTTACTTCAATCTCACGCGACAGACCGACATAAGCCGAGTGTTCAATAAACATCAACTTCTGTTTCGTAACAGCCGCTCACTAGTTCGTATTAACGTTATCGTGCACTAGGTAGATTATACAGACCGGAGAAGCAGCATCACATGTACGACAGTGGGATTTGACCAATAGTCCCAGGAAAACGTCCTCGCAGAAAACCAGAGTAAGCGAATGAATGGCGAGAATTCGAGATAACTCAGTGGTTAAGGCACGAGCTTTCTGATCGGAAGGTCCCAACTCCTGCGTCTCGACTGTTCCTGTCTAGGCATGGGCAACCTAGCAGCATCTCAGCCCTAGTGCTTTCTTCGAGCAGCATGGCAGCTGAGCACTGGAAGGGTGTTACATCTGAATCATTACTATTTTTATTAGTGTATGCTGAATCAAACGTGTGCGTTACTTCTCATTGTCAGTTTGTCTTTTCAGCTGCGCGGGCACGGGTTACTCTAGGGCTTCTCGCATTTGGCTTGTTTCATTTGGCTTAATAGTTTATCCTGCTTGTTAATATTTTTCAGCTCCTTCACTGCGTTTGGACAAGGAGGAAAGTAGTGAGGCCGCTCTCCGGCGCGTGATCCCTTCACAACTTTATGGAATCCTTGAACAGTTGATCGATAAACTAACAGTGGTGTTCTTGGAACTGCCGCCTCAGGTTCCAGGTAGGCATATCCCTTTTAAGTTTCTCCTGGCGATTAGCCTCTCATTTCTTTAGAAAGGTTACCTTTTTCCCTATATCATTTACTACTGCAGTTCAGCTCGACTCAGTCGCACTACTTCTCTCATTGTATGCGAGCTGTAATCCTGTTTGACTAAAAGTAATAGAGAATTAGCGTCCACCATTTTAGTCACATGTTCGAAGTGACTACCGGTGAGTAATAGGAGTTGCCGTACATTATCGACCGGTGCTCATCACTGTGTCACTATTCAACTCGCACGCCAGCTGATGAAGTCTGGAAGGCAATTGATTAATTGAATAAAAACCTGTCGGTCGGAGCAGTAGTGCTGTCTTATGCCACCGAGAAATGCACTGCTTAGTCATGTTTCATGCACTGGCCAGTAACCACATGAAAATAATTCTGCTGTTTTCTTGTTCCTGTTTCGTCGTTTCTTGTCTGGTAGTTGAAATAGCTCCGTGAAAATTCACGTCGTGTCTATCTGCAGTGAGGTCTTAGTGGTCCACCGAAATTACTTGCCCCCAGTACGAAAATACCGTCACAGAAGGGGTAACATTTGTCTTTGAGCAATGTGCTAAAGTCAACGATGAGCTGACGCGGACTGCCTTCCTCGTAACTTCATGCGTGAGTACGGTGGTCCTTGCCGCTACAGCTTATCTATGGGACCTGTTCCAAGTGGTCCCTTTTTGTAGAGGCTACTGTTAAAGATATTGACATAATCTCCACTTTTATGTGACAATAGAGTCACCCTTGAGTCAACTAAACACTCTTCCTAGGAACCCGTTCTATTTTTTGCTGTTGCTTTGGTGTTGCTTTGCTTCGTCTTATTTTGAGTATACTTCAAAACAGAAAGTAAACATTCACTGAAACAGGTGTTGCGCGAGTTTTCCATTGTCTTTTATTTATTTCCTCAATTATAACTCCTGCGTTTTAACATTTGTTAACGCATCTTCTTTCGAATTATTCGACCACTCATCCTCATCTTGTTCCAATACCCTGAGTATATCATTCGGCATTACGTTAGACGTAAATTCCATCATAACAAATTTGACGCATTACTCTTTCATCATTGTCCTGTAGTCGAAAGTAGGGAGAATGACTTTCACCTCGTCGTTATATATGGATTGATCGGCTTCACGGTCGACATCTAAAACTGGGTGAAATTAATTCATATCACAATGCCCTGGCATTTTTGCACACTTTAACTATTAGAATAGTTAGATTATGATCACCATAACTGAATTTAACTACTGTGCTTTTTGGAGCTATCACGATATCATAAAAATGGAACCTACTCAATAACCGGTCCAAAAAGTGGATCTATTGTTTTACGCTACAGCGCCGTCAAGCAGGATCCGCGTGTAATCAACTTTAGCGAAACGGATCATGCTTAAGTGGTCTAACATGACTTTGAGTTATACCTGGGGCAGGATCCTCCCTTACTGTTTGTCAGTTCAAATTCAGGGTTTGTCCACATTGCTGAAAAACGCCTGTCTCTGTACACGCTGCTGCAACCATTACCTCTTCGCTCACTTAAGTCTTCTCGTACGTTAGCTGGTGGTGGAATAATAGAAGACACGTCTTTAGATTGACTGGGTTGCAATTCTTTGACATATTGGAAGACAGCATCGCAATCCCCTTGAATATCCGTTACTTTTGCATGTTGCATGTTTAGAGGTGAATTTTGGTTTCATTATTGTTGGTGCACTTCGAAACGTATGTTGGATGGACCATAGTTGTATTCGTATTTCGGCCGTTGGTCGTTAGGGAATCGAACTCAGCTCACGTTTTTCAGGGTTGTGCAGCCGAGCGTCACTGACGTAAACATTGTTGTACTCAATCCATTAGGGGTTGCAATCTGCGGCTCAAGATGCACCCAACGTACGCATATCCGTTCAGTGAATAAGTGAGGAGTTCCCTGGCTTCATTATTTTTGGAATATGCTGTAACGCTTCTATCAGCTATCTCTAACAGCTTTGCTGTGATTGAGCATTGTCCCTCGAAATATTTCCGACTGAACCAAACGGTTTGCATTTTATCTATGATGGACCGGTATGTCTCCTGACGCCGTAAAAAGTGGACATCTCTACCGGGTCAGCTTTTCGTTTGAAAGCTCCTAGATAATTTCAGGGGACGATATGGCTCATCGGTTAGAGCGCGAATTTACTGACCGGAAGGTCCGTGGTTCAAAGCCGGCCTCTGCATCTTAACTTTCCCTGTCTAGAGAACAACCCGGTATTATCTCAGCCCTCATGCTTCCTTTGGGTGGCATGGCAGCTAAGCACTAAAATGGTGTTACAGCTGAACGAGATAAATTCCGGTACATTTTAACACTCATAGGTATGTTAAAGCACTGAACAGATTGTTTCGCGAAACTTCTGTGGCACTCGCTGTTGAACAAGCGGGGCTAAAAAACTGACCGATTGACCGAGTCGATCATAACCTTGAAGTCAAAAGATGTCAAGTTTGTGAATATATCGCCTATCTAGTACGTGACAGAATTTGAACGTACGATGTATGCAACATTTACTTTATCTGCATCTGACATGCCGTCCTTGCTGGGATGATTCACTTGCCGCCGTAAGATAGTGGTGTAACATGGATCATGCTAGTACCTTTGTGATTGTCATACTCACCTCGACCACTGTCTATGTAAAGTGACAACTGTTGACGCGCCCTAGTTAGTCGACCCAGATTCCTCACTTCAAATCGATAGGAACAGGATAGGCACAGACTACCATTCCTGAACAAGTCAAATGACAACTCGATGGTACTCTTCTTGGTAGACGATAATCGAGTGTACGTAACATGTGGCCGAAGCACTGGGATCTCTCGTGCTACTAAAGTACCCGTAGCAACCGCTTACTGGTTTCCTTTTCGCCTCGTTAATTAGGGTGTCACAGTATAAAGCCACCAACGGTCCTGAAGAATTTGCGTCCATATGCTCGAAGGCGCCTAATTACTCGGTTCACAAACATCCTGTCTCGCAGCCACACGGTTGGTAAACTAACCTATTGAAAATTAACGTTTTTTATACCGCATGTGGTGCAAACTGGCGAATGTGATTCAAACCTTTTGCGTTCGTGCACTCACTTCATCAAACACTTCGTTTGGAGCTCAGCAACCCTGTTACATAAATTTTCTTATAACTTCAAGTGCGCCATTTGAACTTGGGGGTATGTCATGAAGCTGCATGACTCTCTAGGTACAAAGTGATGAGGGTATAATCATGGCCAATTGATTTGATAGCGTTTTTCGCAGTCGGTTCAGTTTCAGTTTCGTCCTCCCAAAAGCGATCTGAACACCTGAGTTTTGGAAACTCACCACTTTGCGCGTCATTATTTTATCAACGATCAAGTGGGCCAGAATTAGTTTCATCATAACGGGGCCCAAACGCTGAATGGCGTTGTTTCATTCCTCTTTCATTTTTGCCGACACTAGCAACAGATGTCTACTGTACCCGAAAAGGGCTTCTAGACAGGGTTTTTCAGAATAATATTTGAACCCTAACTTTCGAATGAACAGCATACGATAATTGGATAAGAAAATTTATTGACCCGACAGGTCGCTGCACCGTTGACGTGAAAGTACCGTGCTGTAACAATATGCCAGCCGGGTTTTCATTTTGTGCGATTCTCACCTCAGTGTACCGTATCTCCTCTTGTGTTGTGGATTATTTTGTTTTATTCTGATTTACTATTGAACACGGTATTAATATCAGCTCCCTTCCATCCTTCACTTCCCAATACCAGGTGTTTGTATTTCCGAAAACCTCGAAGATCTAACACTCAGGAGAGAATTTTTGAAACAGTTGATTACGCGAACCATTTTAGGATTTTATGACCACCTGGACGCGTCTGTCAACATCGAGACTCATGCTGAGGATGGTGCGGGCGACCGAAACCCCGGTTCGGCTTCTCCTTTGGTTTTCCCACAAGAGATGGATTCTGCTGAGTCGGACGCCGAGGCTGTTGACGAGGCAAAGTGAGTTTACTTGTTTTTTAGTTTTAGTGTGTTTCCGATCGATTTCCTATTTTTTGAGCTTGGGGTCATCAGTGCGATCATAATCATCGGCAATTTCGCTTTGGTTTCCTACTACACAGCCTCAGATCTGTTCTCTTGCGTCCGTTTACCATAGTTTTCTGGTTTATTTGGTGATCCGCTTGAGAACTTCGAGGCAATCTTTATGGCTCATATTAGATTGTTTGCTTCTTGCGAAGACGTATGGATTTAAGGCTGCGTAGTGTCCTGAGAGTAAGCAATGCTACAAGGATGGCGAAGAGTGAACACAGTTCTTATGTGATGAAGCGTTCATGCAAAACATCACTGTAAACGTAACATCAGGCACTCCGTTTTTCGTTTGACTGTTGGCAATATTGGTGTTGAGTTACAGTCAGATACAAACCGTTCGTAATCTTCGCCAGTTTCGGTGATGATAACCTCCCCGTCCATCTTTTCTGTCCGCAGAACAGGGCCTGGTGCTCGCTCCTCAACTTCCTCCCTGAATCCTGCGCTAGTTCAAGCAGCCTTGGACGGGTTCGATCACCATAGGTATGCGAGCCGCAAACGTGCAATGCCCACTACCATTTCGGTATTTCAAGAAGAAGATCGACTTGCTAGTGATGCAGTCGCTGACTCCCGTATTCCTAGAATTGATACCACTCGTGAGAACGACCAGACTGAGGAGATTCTGAGCGTGCTCCGTCGTCCAACAGTGCCTGTGGTTACCGCAGAGTATGTCATATTTTGGTTCTGTTGTTTGGTTCAGCCGACATTTTTGTCATTTGATATGGTGTTTTGCATAGTTTTCCGTGTTGTCAAATCTTTTACTGCTTCGTGAAAAAAATCAGGATTTCTTACCACAGACAGAGAATGCTGCCAACGTTACCGCGCTAACGGAATAGTGTAAACTAAGTGCGGGACACACAATTTAAATGGACTCGCCAATAATGTACGGGTTGTCCATAGCGGATTTTCGAAACCGGATCAGCTGCCGATGAAACCTGTTACTTTAAGACCTGCAGCGCATTCTCATATGACTAACCCACAGTTGTTGCTTTAGTGGAATGAACGTTGTGGAGAGTGCAAACAAATTTACCCTATTCGAGAAACATTTGATATGCTCTGTCATTAGGGTGTACTCTAGGGCAACACTGTTGTAAAGATGAGGGGGCTCATTCTGCGCCCATTCTGCAGGAGGCATTTAAGGAACATGGCTGGACCGATTGAAACCGGCTGCTGTAAATGGGTGGCTGCAGTGTTGGAGTTTGTGAGACCAATCCTTCAGTACGTTCAATGGCTTGACTGGGCGCAGTCTCCCGTGTAGAGGGCTCATTGTTTTTCACTCCTGTGGGATAGGCTTTTCTCATCCTCGTATTATTTGCGCATGGTTTGTTGATTTGTGTCTCTTGCTTGAATTGACACGTGTTGCGCCAATCAGTATGTGCAACAAATGAGGGCATTTTGACAAGATCGGGACGATTCGTGCTTGCCAGTAATTCACTTTATATGGAGTCTAATCTCCGTGATTACCACCTCTTGAGTGAATCGATTGAAGCAAACTAGCCGTAAAACATCCTAGAGGAAAATTTCTACCAGCTTAGTTGCTTCTGTGGTTCTAGGGCAACCGATCAGTCTTAAGTACATTACTGAGGATTACCTGCGATCACGGTGCGTACACCAGTTAGACGCAAGCGCTTTAGAATGGGAAAGGAGACTCAGCCTTGCTTCGTCTGTTGAATACATTGTCAGTAGACGGACATCCGTACGTTATCATCTTTGCCCTTATCTTGCAGCAGAATTATTTGATTAGCTGGATAAATTTGACTCGGAACTTAGTTTTCCCAGCATACTTCGCGGCATTTGTATGCAGACCAACCGATTCCTTGAATTCAAGGCTTAGAACCCCAGAGGGGTTGTTTCATACCAGGATTTCATCGTGGTATTTTTACCCACTGGGTCTCCATGCTGGTTTGGTGATCCCTCTGCTCTAACAGTCTCTATTCCATGTTTCATGAATGGCCATTCGTTTGGCGCTGAAGGAATACCCGGATCGATCGACCGATACAAATATGCTCTGACATCCGGTCGAGCAATGAGGACAGTCAAATTGCTGGGAGAAAATTTTTAGTTGCATCAGAATAGGGACTGGATACCTCGGTCAAACTAGCTCCCAAGCTGGCTGGTAGAAGACTCAATAAGGTCTCTTGCATCCAATGTTACACTGATATTTTTCGGCATAGTGTGCAGCTCACGTGCTACCCTGATATTTCGTGATGGAGATATTCATTAAATTTTTTTCTGTGTGGAACGGTGGCCTAGCCGTGCACGCTGATTCCCAAGGAATACGACGATTGCTCTGGTGCGACCAGGTTTGCTTTTTTGTCGCGCTCGATGCTGGCCTAAAAGCTAGAAATTCATTGTTAGTTGGAACGATGACTTTACGCAGTAATCAGCCAGAATCTTTTGCGCTCAGAGTTGCATGCTAACACAACCTGTGTACTACGTAAAAATTGTAGGAGCCTACGTACGAATTCGGCCTGCATCGTGCCAACTCAACTTCTTCGGAAGTGAAGATTTACGGTTCCTCATGATGCTCCATTCGATTTATATTGCGATGAGATTGTAAATTTCAGTCTTTGTGACGTACGACGTAACGCTTCATATTGGGCCCTTTCATCTGACACTGCTGCCAGTTATTAATCTGTCTGCCTCACAGTAGTCCAGTATATGTACCCTCATATCTGCTTTTTGTCATCGTTTCTTTATAGATCTAGTGGTGAGGAAGCGACATGTCAAAACCATATTGAGGCTGGCAGTAAACAAAGTCGAAAAGCGACTCCTCTCTGTCGGTCTTCCACTAGTCCAGTCAGAGTTAGTTCCAGCAGCAACAGACCTTCAGGGAAAGTTGAATGTTCTCAATCTAACGCACCCAAGAACAAATCTTTTCGATCTCTGCGTACCCGTGATAGCCGAACTCCGTCAGACAACAGCTTCTCCGAGGGAGAAGTTCTTTCTGATTCGGAAGAAGAACGAGCAGATTCGGTTAGCGAAGTGGAGGAGCCAGTCACGGATTTGGGTGAAAAGACAAATGTGGATATTGAAGAGGAAGAGGCTGAAGAGCTTATACGAATGGTGAACGAGCAGCTGCGAGATCGTACTCCTGCCAGTGATATTGATCTGACTGAACTGGAAATCATGGATGAATGGGCCCCGCCCACGTCGTCCATGGTCGTGGCATCACGGACCGAAACAGAATCAAGTCAACCAGAGATATCAGCGCCTGAAGTTGAAGTATGTTAAACTAGTGCCATATACAGGAAGTGCATATGGTGCTGTTGACTGCGGAAGATTTCGTCTTTTGTACACTAACCTTTGATACCGGAAGCAACCAGTCATAGAAACAGGAGGACAGAGTATACTGACACACACATCTCAATACTTTTGACGATGTTCGTACATCCAGTGATCTTGCGGTTGACACCTTGTCAGAAAACCATACAGGCCCTCGCAATTTAGGAGGCGATATTCTCCTGGTCAGCAGTATGAGCTTCACTCCCCTCTTTCAGTAAATTTGTTGCAAGTCAGTGACCGTCCGCCGCTGCATATTGCTGCATTCTAGGTAGCCGTTTTAATATAGGTTCTTTCAATAATTTTACTGCTACTACAACTACAAGGGCCACTGAAACTCAGGATAATTTTGAAGTCTCCGTTTTTGGTTACGAAAAACACGTGTCCGTTAGCTCTTCATCTGAATGACATCTGACAAGACGCAGGAACGAGTAAATATGAAGGTGTTGGTCGATTGTGTAGTGACAAAACTAGTGGCCGGAAAGAAGGCTGGCAAGCACATACTGCCACATCTCTGTTTGTTACGTAATCTTGGTCGTTGGCTTGCTTTCTGAGCTATCCAGCTTAATTGCGATTAATCTTAATTAAATAACCTAGCTAAGCGAACAAACCAGTAACTGTCTACCTCACCTGAGTTTCCGGTGTTCCCCTTAAAAGCAAGTACTCTGTTTGATGGTCGAGAATCTGTATGTCGAATCTACGGGTTGTGAGCTTTGTCTACCCGATATTCCACAATGTTTTGTCCCATCTGGTCAACTCATTTATCTCTCTTATAAGTTGGTTCTGTCATTAACTGCAAGCGCGCTCTGCGGTGCTAATGAAACACTTTCATTATCTGTTTTGTTGCTCTTTTTGTCATGAGTCGCACGTAGTTAATACTCTAACTTTATTGCGCGTCTGACATGTTGAGTGAGATCGTGAGGTTGTTGATGACTTCCACCAAAGAATGTGGACTGGTGCTCAAAGGGCTTCATTGAAAGCCATCTGCTTTCAGCGGCAAATGCTTTACTTCCTGTGAATGGCAACTGTACAACTGCTGGGCCCTGCATGGTTCGCTATCCCAAACCGCTTGTTTCGGCTTTCTGGGAACTGTGAGTCTGCTATACACGCCCAAGAAGTACTCAGCAAAACCAACTGTCTGTGGCACCTTGCTCTGATGTAAATTTATACCCTATATGCTGTCTCCAGTGAGAAGTATTTTCTTCTCACGCACTCTACCCTCATACGTTTGGAGCGAACCGAAATACCAAAAAAGCATAAATTCATGTCCTCAGATACCGTCTCTTTGGATGGGGATCCCACGATCAGGCATTAATGGCTCAGATTAGTGACAGACAGCTATTATTGTTGACGCATGAAAGCTATCGCCGTTAAGGCGTAGTCTTCGTATTTTTCACCTCCTGTTGAATGCAAAAAGATGGGATACCAATAAATTCGTTACAACATAACCTGCCATACTTGGCTGTTCCCTGTATCCTCCTTCACAACTATAGCAGCTGCAACTAGCGCTTCATTGCTACATTGTTTCTGACTGTCAAACGGGTCTAAATTGAATCTTCCTTACCGTCGCGTTATTTGGGTGACTTACGGACCATGGCGCGAGCTCATAACCACTAGGCCTCTAGTCTCTATCCATTCCTGACTTTTCGGTTGCTCTTGTCTGGTTCTGAATGGCCTGACAACATGTCCGCTCCTGAGCTCCTTTCGGGTTGCATAGCAGCTGCTCGTCAAAAAATTGTCGTAACAGAAAACCTCGATCGGTTTTTGTCTTGGATTTCGATAGCGACGATTGAGGACTTATACCCTTCTATAAACCCATATTTTAATTCTTTTTGTGCATAATCAGGCTCCATGTTGAATGATATCATTGATTTCATGTTCTTTTCGCAGTGCTGAGTCCCCATATGAGGTTGATCCTTCCACCTATCTAAAATCAGCGACATTCTGATGCTAATACTGTTTTTAATTCGTTGCCAGCCTGGCGTTTTGCTGGTGTGCCTTTTTGTGTATTTTGCCAGGTACTCAGCTTTAGGCATTTTTTTCATATTCCTACATATTACTTCCCAAGTACCAATGTTTACATATTCGCATGCGCGAACTCGTGATTGCTCAGTGGCCAAGACACGAAATTACTGATCAGAAGGTCCCTGTTTCGAGCCCCATCTCGCATCTCGACTGCTTCTATCTAGGCTTGGGCAACTTGACAGTATCTCAACCCTTGTGCTCCCTTCGAGTAGCATTGCAGCCGGATACTGAAAGATTGTTGCAGGGTAGCTGTTACTATATGCATGCTCCACCTCGTTCATCTGTTATTCCCTTTCGTGGCGACAGTTTGGGCTTATTTTTCGTGTTGTTTCATTTTGTAGCAGCTTTCTGCAGAGGAGCAAGCAGCTTTGGAGGAGGTAACAAGGAAAATCGCGGAGATTGTGGATAATGCCCTGAATGAATGTGGAAAGGGATTAGATGAACTTGTCTTGTGTGCTGAACAAAATGCACCTATTATGAAAGACTCGATTCACGCTGAGTCACAGCCTCTGGTTCTCTCGGAGGACACGGAGGCAAGCATTGAGCGAACTGCCTCGGCTTTCAAGGTACGTTTCAATCAGCCATACGGTAAGCCTGACGCTTTATCTCTGCACTGTATTGCGTGTGGCCTCTTTTTACTCGATTAGTTACCCAATATCGCCCTCAATTTCCCCGCATTTATCTGTTCACTATGTAATCCCCCTTCGGAGAGAACGTTCTTTAAACCGATCGAAATTGTCCTCTCGTGTGAGGAGGTGTGGTACTCTTGAACACATGTAGATCTAAAACAATCAACTATGTGCGTGGTATTGTTTCTCTCACTGATTGTTAAACATTATCGGATTTCTAAACGCTGTTTCACACGTACTAGATTCACCCAAACGTATCAAATGCGGACAGATTGCTGTTGTAGATTTTAAGTTCCGGCCAGGTTGGTGCACTTCATTTGCACTATTGATTTCTTCTGACTCTGTCGTCTGTTAGCCAACTATTTGATCCATATGAATTCACAGCACCTGACAAACTGTTTCCCTACTCTGGTTATCACGCTGTGTGCATGCTTACTGACTAGATCCCAGTGTCAGTGCCTCCGCGAACGCTGTTTTGTCTCAGCGGATGAATCTCACCAAAATGGAGAAAGTTTGAATCTTTAGATGTTTAATCAAGATTCACATTTAAATGTCACGGAGCTAAGGCCCTTTTGCACTGCTATCAAGTTTTTCTAAGAACTGGGAATGTTACCAATAGCATACCTCACCTCTGGATGAAACTGGTAATCGGTATTAGACTTTTGCGACCTTCCAAAACTAGGACAGAGGCTGACTTCCTCTCTATTCACTGTTCGCTCGTGATTGAGCCTCGTCGCTGACCCTGTGGTTGTTCATGCGCTTCCGGTCTGTTGTGGTCTCCTCAGGGTGTGTCGGTCGTTCTTGGGTAAGTTGGATGGCCAAACCAATCTGTGGTAGGCACAGTGCCTCTAAGCCAAAATTCAGTTGCGTGTCCTCTTATGCAAGGCTTCCTCTTTGAGAGGTCAAAGAGATGCAACTAAAGTTAATAGTTCCCCCTTATGTGGTTTGTACTCGATACCAGCCCTCAGCGACTGAATCTTACTAAATACAAGCTTTTTACTAGGTTGAAGTTAGTTATTTTTTTGACGCATCAGCGCCTAAACTCAAACTACATGCCATGCTCTGGTGGATGTCTTTACATTGGTGACATGCCTCATGTCTGTCATGCAAGTTGTCTAGATGACTTAGCCATTCGTTATTCGCCCCCTCCAATTAATCATCAGCTTTCATGCAGAGGGAACATTGTTCTGGTCACCTATCTGCTATATCGAGCTGCTTACCTAACAGTGATCACTTAGATCCTACGGAGTTTCGGCCATAACTGTTACGAGGTTGCGTGGTGCTTTCAGACTCACGAAGAAGCCTGTTCGTCAGTCATCAACCAAACTTCGTTTTGTTCGCATTCGCTGTTCATCATTTTTATTGTCTTTTTGATTAGTTCACTTAGTTCACTCGTCAGAGCAACTCATAGTAATAGGTTTTCTGTGCTCAACATTTCAGTGTTTGTGTATGTATTCCAGTACGGGTGCAGTTCCTTACTTTGATTTTCATGCACGTACTCCGTCGTTCTGTCAACGTGGTCACGTCGTAGACCTCTGAGGCCATAGAGGGTTCCAGATTCATCGTCCAGGGTTCTGCGTCAGTTGTAGCCTCCATGTGGGTAGCAGCTGGTGGTGACGATCATTGTTGTTCGACCTATTTGACCTATCGGTCGAGGCGTTCTTTATTCATAATGGTCGCTCCGTTCTGACCTTTGATGGTCTCGGGGACCAGTCGCACGTATCAATCTTTGGGCGTTCCCAGCTTTCTGTGTCTATTCCATTTCCCTAACTTTCTCACTATAAGGCTTCATGGTCGGTGCGCACGCACAGTTTCTCTAGACGCCTGATAGTTTGTCGGGTCAAGTTATGTTCGGGACTGGCGGGGATATTTCTACGAGACTTAAGGAGTGCAGCTGTTCGGTCTGATATTCAGTGCCTGACTTGGCCTGGTAGCGCCGTACCACAAGCAGTATAAACCTTAAAGCATGCCTCCTATTCAAGAAGTGGATTTTAACTGTTCCCTCGAGCAACTAGTCTAGCAAATTACAATGGGACTTGTAATTAAAGTGTAGGGTAACTTGTGCATTTTGAGAAGGCTGATAGCTAAGAAAACTGGCTTGAGGAAACCGCAGTTTACAGAGCACTATTGGAAACTAATATCACACATTCGTCTCACGGGCCCCAGTTGGAGGGCAACATGCTGTCTAACAGTTACACCACTCATACAGTTTTTGAGAACTCTTCGACTGCCCACAAACAGTTTCGTCCTTCTTGGGGCTCACAAGTTAGACCCACTCCCCGAATCTCCTTCAGCCTTATGTTCTAATTGAACCCAAATTGGACAGATTTTGAAAAATACTCTCATTTGCGCACGACTTTGATTTTGGCGGGTGAATTAACTGAGTTTAGTCCAATATCCGGTTAATGGTGGTCCGTTTCAACATAATGTGTCGCACGGGAAATTCAACTGCACTCAGTTAAACTTCCTGTTAAAGCCAAATTAGTGTGCAAGTGAGAGTATTTGTCGACATCAGGCCAACCTTTTTGGAAACCAGATCATAGGTCAATCCGGTGATCTGTTTGAATGTTATTCCACTTATTATGTTTTCACCCTCAAGTTGCCGATTATATTTTTCCCTGTGTATCACTGATCTGCATTCATTTGCTGGGATATACGAATTTCCGGTCTTTCGGTTGGCAAGACGACATCTTCCTTTACCTCCAACATCCCTACCCCTTAAGTGTAATTTCATCCATACTGATCATTCGCCGTTTGTGCGCCCTAGAATGAACTTTTCGCAAGTTATTCCGCGAGCCTAGTGTCAAGTTTCACTCGGCATTTCAACTAACTTTTCAAACTGAGAATTGACCCACAACATTCATTCCAGTTTTCTTTTGGAATTCTTATTCGTGCCACTCAGGTTCCAAGGTGGTTTGGTCAGTTTGTCCCCATTAGGTATTTTTAAAGCTGGGGAAGAACTGAGAATCATGACATCATGAATATAGTTTGCCGTTTGATTTCTTCATTTGCTTTGCTCCTTTCATTTATTTAAAGGAACACGTAACTTCGGTACTGACGAATCTTTTGCATGCCATTCCGCTAATGGCGGATGGAACGAACGGATCTGTCATCAAGCTGCCGAGTGCCAAGAAACCCGACGCAGCCCCACCCGCTGTCATAACTGGACGAAGGGGGTCACGGTTAATGGGTATGCTGCGAGCGTATCAGCAAGATGCTGTGAAACGGATGAGTTCGAGTGCCAAGTAGCCAAACTGATGCAGCGATTTAACCGTTTTCCCGGTCTTCCTTTACCTTCAGTAAATACCTTCGGAACGATTGATTTTTCAAAGTCTCCAAGCGGTCATCTCTAATATGACGATTTCCATTTTCTATCCAGGAGCCATCACCCAACGTCCTCTCAACAAAATAGCATATCTGGCCTAACCAAAATATCCTTTGTTCACTTAGCTTGTCATACCAGTTCTTGACCTGCGGGAACACTACATATTCGCCACTTTGTATCCTCTGACCTTTAAACGTGCTCCGAGCTTTTGCTTGCCCTGATCAACGCGACCATATAGGCTTATAAAATCAAAATAGGTGAACTGTAACACCCAATGCCTAGCTGCCATGCCACCAGAAGGAAGCACGAGGGCTGAGATGCTGCCACGTTGCCCACACGTAGACATGATCAGTCGCGATGCATATCCACACGTAGACATGATCAGTCGCGATGCAAATGTCGGGTTCGAACCACGAAACTTTCGGTCACTAAATTCGTGCTCTAGCCACTGAGCCATATTGAGCTCGCGCATATGCACTGATAAACTGTCAAGACCGCAAAAGTTCGCTGCATGTAGGCACATAGAAAAAGGCTTAAAGCTGAGTTCCTGGGATGGGGGATGGGCAGCAAAAATGTTGCTATCAGACGAACCTTCAAGGATTTGAATTGTCAGTGCGCTGCAATTAACGGGCATGAACAATAGGTAGGCAGGTATAGTGAGCGCCGAACGTTTTATTCTACAGTTTGAATCACGGCTGTCTGTTAGCTCATTCTGCACACCCAAGTTTTCTAAGTGTATCAGGTTTCACCCTGATCAGGTGGTTTTCCAGGGAGATTCCGCTATCCCTTAAAGTATCAACAGTCCGCTGAACCGGACAGCAAAATTCACGCGGAAATGGGGTCTCCAAAGCTCGATGGTATCTATAGACATACAGGAATCGTTTCACACGTAGGCTCTTGAATTTTGAGCTCTGAAACTTCGCTGTTTATCGTTGATGGGTGAATCAGATGTATCCATCACAATAAGGTGTGCGCTATCAATAAGGCTTTCTTTAACACAGTAAATGTTGCCGGCTTCCATGTAGTACGTCCTGAGTGCTTTCGCAATTTATTTCCGACGGGTGAACTGTTGCTGAGCAGAAGCTATGCATCCATTTGACCTTTCTAATCTTCAACTATTTCTGGATGGCTTCACCATCTTTTTCGAGTATTGAGATTACTGACATCAGGCAAATGGGTCGATAGCTCGGGCTCCTATGGAAATAGTCTGGTCATTCCGGCACCCTAGTCGTCTGTTTTTGATAACCGTGTACTGTGTATCAGGGGTGTTTCAGTGGTTTGGCATGTCTCCTACCCTAAGCACGCGAACATAATAGGGCTGCGGTGCGATCAAGATTAATGAAAATATTAATTTGTAATAATCGCTACATCCCAGATCCAAGTAGCCCGTTTATGCCCATACCGTGAAAATCGACCAAATGCTAGTCGCCGTACGTGCATCCCGTCAAGCAGAAGAGCCTGACACAGTGGTGCTAGATTACTCCCTCCCAGTGGTTCCTACACTGTTATTGCCACGGCCGAACGGCTTTCCGGGAGCTGGCACTAACTGGCTTCCGGGAATGCTGCACCTTTTGTTGTTTGGCTTCTCATTTCACAAAGAAGGTCATCTGCAGAGGCAAGCATCCACTCCGGCTGTATGTCGGCCGGTCAATGTTAGGAAGGTTACATCCCCAGGACAAGCATCCGACTATAGTGCACTTGCTCTCTGGACCTTTGTATACGGTACGAATGGTGCAACAACCCCAGTACTTATCACTCTAAAATATAATAGTACCCCACGGTCCACTTTTCCCTGCAGATGCCGTTACGGTGACCGATCTTGGCGTTTCATTGAAGTAGGTGGCAGTACTCGTAAACTGTTTCTGTTGCGGGAGGGGGGTTGTGCAACCTTTGTAGCGGTCACTCAATATATCATCAGGTCAAGTTGTATTCATGTTCGTGCAAGTATCAAACATGCACACCATAAATAGGCATAAATTCGGCCCATCACACGCACAGGACAGGAAGTCAACCGAGCTCCACAACACATTACGGATAACTACGGAACACGTGTAGCAGCTATACTGCAGAGAAGACATGTCCCACGTCCGGAACTTCACTCGGGAACTCTTAACAACTGTGCCCAAACCATAAGTCACTCTTTGGTTCATACCACTTTTCGCATCGTAATCATCAGCATCCTAGTAAAACAGTATCAGGAAGTTCAGATTCCTGAAAGCAACCTCAGAACGCCCGGAACCTACTGCTCCACCAAAAACTCAACAGAGAAGCCGGCAAGCATTTAGCCAAGTCAATCAAGTCAGAAAAGGCTGATGAGTATTCAGGCACGCCACAGAAGCATGACCGAATGTGATCAGCGTTCAGACAGTTCATAGAAGCACGATCGATGTTGATGGGTGTTCACGAATACGCCTATCAAACAGTCTGGATCAATGTCAGAAAGTCCCTTTTAAATAGCGTGGGGCCGTTGTAATTTTGCTCTCGCATTCGTTGGTTTGGACTATAGCGGTTGTGTTCCCTTCTATGAGCCATTTTTTCTCCGGCATTAGGCACTGGAGCAGGTCAGCAGCAGATACCACAGATTGACGAATCAGCAGATATAACAAACAGACACTTGTTAGTGCTTATCACCTGTTAATTAATTTAATTAGGCGACTTTCGCATCCTGTACTCTTTCAGTTGACCACGTCTTGGTGATGGCGACGACATGCGGTCAGCGTTCAGCTTCACGTGCTTGCGATTCCTTTTGCTTATTTGCAAGGCTTCTGTAGTTGACCTCGACCAACTTCAATCCAGCTTCATCCTACGCAATCCTGGTTACGTCCACTCAGGGACTGGCAACAGGACCATAGTCTCTCAGAGCGGGAGGTGTTTCTCTTACATCTGAGCACTTTCGCTAGTGTTTTTTTTCCACATGGTTGCGAAGTTCATGTGGTTTTGATACCAATACATCCGCTTGTCGTCCACCAACCGAACACTTATACTGTGTTCGCTTCCAACTCCCGACCATTCTCCGGATATTGGAGTGCATTCTGAAAATTCCAAAGACCCGAATCACCAACATTTGCATTTTTGACTTGGATTCGATCCTGAAGATTTGCGTTGTGATCTCAAATCCCAACCATTCCGAATAGTTTAGAGGATAGCTTGATTCTGGCGTTTCTGTCATGTTCCGGTTAGGCGGTCATATTTGACGAATCGGTATCTCGGATACTATTAGCTGTCAACTGTTCTGTCCTTGTTACCTGAAGTGTTCCCTACAATGCATCGTTGAAAAGCTTCACTTTTATTTCAGCACTTGACATCATTCTACGCTCTTTGAAGTTGTAACTCATCTGTTTGTGAACCGGTCGCCAACGTCTGTACAACGATTTCCAGCTTGACTACTTTATTGTGCCGTGTCGGGTCTCCTGAATATGCATCTGTTGCGCTAAATGGGACGGGTCATCATGCCGTTGGTCGTCCCATGGATAATCGTGTCCGTTCCTAGTTTCTTGTGTTCCTCAGAAGGTTTGACTTCCGATTGCGTTGCTCTGGAGACACAACCTGATCGCAGATCGTAGCCAATTCTTTACACGGCCTTCAGGTATAACGAGGCGCCGTTTTCGTTGAGTCTTCCGGTAAATCCTTACTGACAATCCTCACACATTAATGGTTTCTGTGTGATTGTGTCCCGTAATAACGCTGGCAGTGGTCACGCTCCGCTGCGTTGTTCTCATCCGCTGCACATGTCACAATGCGAAACATATGATTTTTGGCAGCAAGCGAACAGAGAAAATACATTCAACCACACCCACCATATTTTCTTTCCCAATTTCAATAACTAATCCATTGTAAACAACTTACTTAAGAAGCCACGTAAACCCACACGCTTGTAGTTCTGATCTTGATCAATCCAGTTCAGCTATTTTGAATCGCGTGCATCACAAGTTCCTCTTGAAGAGACTACTTTTCCCTCTTCTTCTTAGCCATGTAATCCGCATTGAGAGCGAACATAAATCATTTTAAGTACGTAATCCGCCGACGTCTAGAAAAACTTACGTGAACGAACTGATAATCTTCCAGGGCCAACGGGCCCTAATAACCGAACATCACATCTTTCGGATGGATGCGTCACGTGCAGAGTACGGGCCAAACGAAGGCACGCCCTGATTGGTCAGAATGCCAGCCTATCCGGCCCGAGCATCTCTGACTCGACGCTTCTCGCTCCTTCACGGAGATTCTGGCACGGCCTTGTGGAGCATTCTTTCATTGACCTATAAATATGGTTATAATTTTCCATTGTCTCTATAAAGGGTTGTCTGAACATCCCGTGCCTTTTGGCATGGCATAGCGAATAGAGTAGAAAGCTAAGGGACAGATGTGGAGTTGAAAGATCGTCGAGCAAAACGCAACTGAGCACAACCCGAACCCACGATGTCAGTTTCGGCAGAGCAGCCCCGAATAATTTGACAACAGAAGCAGTTTGCAGAAGCTCAAATGATGCTTGTTGAATCTCCGCTGCGCAGTATATTGGCGAATGGGACAAAAACGGTTGAGTCTCCGTCTTCTTCCACCGATGCTGCTGCCAGCAGCATTGGGACGAACTTTCAAACGTTGGTTCAAGAGATGTGAGGGCATGTTTCAAACCAGCTCCGCCCAGTTTGATGATGCATGTAAATTTTGACTGTTGCTGCGAAAAATGAGGACAGCTAAACATGATCGGTTCACAAGCCTCAACCTCCTCAAACTCCCTCTTGTCCTTTGCAGATACTGTCGAAATCCTGGCCCAGATATTCGGTGAACAAAGTTCCTTGTTCAGTAATCATTTTCATCGTCCCGAGATTACCAAAAGGGATACCGAAGAGTTCATCACTGATACCGATGTGGTCAAGGAAGCATGCGAGCGCTTTTGGCTCAGCTCCATGACCGAAAATCAATTCAAGTGTATCATCTTCGTAACTGGCCTTCGATCATCACATATTCTGACCCGGCTGCTGAATCCAACTGAACAGGACCCAGAGTTGATTCTTCAGAAAATTATGAACGAGTGCCAACGTCTTATCAATCCCAAGGCTGATGTCTCGGTGACTGAGCACTCCAAATTCTCTCAGCCTGATATGGTATG